ACACAGACACAGACACACACTCACACTCACACACACACACACACAGTCGGCCTCATGAACGTGAATTCCACGCAAATGCTGAAAAATACTTAAAGCGATCATTATAACGTCCATTTCTAGGCGACCGTGAATGTTCAGAAGTTCCGTTAGAACGCTACAGTTACATGAAAGAAAAAAAGTTCGATTGAACTCGCAGCTGCAGAGTTTGGATAAGCGGCACCGTGTGTGTGTGTGTGTGTGTGTTTCGCGGAATTTTCACAAATTTTCAAAATAATAACCTAGAACGATAAGTAATTAAATGGTTCTGAATAACGTCAAGAGATCTGCACAGCACAGGTAAGACCTGTTTTTAAAGACATTTACGAGGCCAATCGCTCACTTGACTGTTCTTTAAAGGGAAACACATCATGATCCGGGTGTGGTTAACATCAATCTGAAGTTATATCAATATAGCCTACCTCCTACTATTTTGTGCGTTATTCGCTTTATTCGTTTTGATGAAAAGCAAAAGTAACAGAAAGTTGCAACGTTTTCATGCTGGAAACCGCTAAGTCGTTTCAAGGAAGAAAAACTGAAGTGCGCATGTGCGCCACCGATCTGCAACAACAGCTGTCAAAAGATGTGCAAAAAATGAGCAGAGCAGATCACCTGTTTAGTGTAAACAACATCTAAAACACACCAAATCCAGATAGATAGATAGATAGATAGAACATCTGTATGTTCATCTCCATATCTGTTTGGGATGGACAGATGTTGCAGGACATGGATCAGCGGCTGCAGGAGGAAGGGTTGGGTTCCTCGGCCTCCAGCGATGAGCGTCTGTCTCTGCTGTGGCAGCTTTACACGAAAAGTGAAAGTACCGTGAGATCCCTCAACCAGCAGATACAAGATCTGCAGAAGGAACGTGTTGCTGAGATTGAAAAGGTGAGTACGTCTAAAAAACCTGGAGACTCATCACTTGTTTGGTTACTTGCATTTTGTTTCAGATCTATACAAGTGACGTTTGGTCTGTGGAACACAAAAGTAGATGTTTAGATAGAAAAGAAATGCAAGGCATTGAAGAATATGCGCAAAAGGGAAACTGCAGTCTTGTCCTTCTTCGATCTCAGGTTCAGCAATATATCAATCACATTAAGAGTCTCACAAAGACCCGAGACTCTGTGGCTTTACATCTCGAGCAAGAAAACAAAACGTTCCATGCAACTCTGGATGACATCCATCGGCAACAAGGTGCATTTCTGTCTGTTCTCTCCTCCATCAGACTCGCTCTTCACCATGCATGACATTTGAATTTATGCTTACAGAAGCACAGAGGAGTGAGATCTCCGAGATGTTACTTCAGGAAGGTCTGGCTGATATTATTCCCATCAGCTTGAGTGAACAGGTGGCTTACCTCCTCGCAGACAGAGCCTCGCTGCTGGAGAAAATACAAAGTCAGGAGAATGTGGATGTGAAGACCACAGAGGATCCTGATGTCCAACAGGAGGATTGTAGAGAGAATGTGGTCAAAGTAAGAGAATCAGTTCTCAGGTTGTTTTGTCTTACTACATGTCAAGTCAAATGTATTTATTTAGCCCTTTTCACAATACACATCGTTTCAAAGAGCTTTACAGACAATCATTATGTTTATGTTAATATCTTAAAGGGATGGTTCACCCAAAAATGAAAATTCCAAACCCGTAAGATCATGCGTTGTGATACTCTCGTCAACGTGTGTCGAAGACTGACACAGAGTTGAAAAAAAGTCATTATTTTTGTTTTCTTTGCGCACACAAAAAATTCTCATAGCTTCATAGAATTACGATTGAACCACTGATGTCACATACGATGTCCTTACTATCTTTCCGGGCCTTGGACGTCTCAGTTGCGTTGCTGTCTATGCAGGGTCAGAAAGCTCTCGGATTTCATCAGAAATACTTTAATTTGTGTTCTGAAGATGAACAAAGGTCTTACGGGTTTGGAACGATATGAGGGTGAGTAATTAATGACAGAATTTTCATTTTTGGGTGAACTGTCCCTTTAATATGTTTATGCCTTATAGTCGCATTTAGCAGATTAGAGCCAAGTGATAATATAGACTATACTTTGTAATGATATAAACAATCAAGCAGGCCTAATTCTTGTTTTCTTTTAAGTGCAAAACTTCTGATTAGAAAATTAACATAATCTCTCCACAAGGTGGCACCACCACACATTCAGAGCCCTTGGAAGAGGCTCCTAGGACTCAGAAAGGCTGCTCAGAGTAAACCGAAATTACTGCCTGTATGTTTATGACAATTAACCTGATGCATGCCATTGAAATGTGCAACAAGAAGCAAGAGGCATTAGTATCATGTCCCATTTCAGGTGGATTCCAGCGATCCTGCGTGTTTAATTTACACAAGGACCACTTTTACTAACCTTTGATTTGTTTTCTTGTGAACGTTTCCTTTTCCAAGCATGCAAGTTTAGGATTTTTTAATGCAGCATGCTCAATGCTTACAAAGCATGCACTGGCTCATGAAATACACAAATTGCCCACTGTTAAATGGTTTCTGTGTTTGTACCAGGCAGATGACCTGCAGTGCAGTAGCGATGACAAGCTGAAGGGACAGACGTTGCAGGAACTGGAGCGAGATGTAGAAGAGGCGTCTGCTCGACTCACCATGGCCCACAAAGAGATCCGCAGGCTCACGGATGAGCTGGAGTCGGCTCACCTGACACAAAAGGCTTATGGTAAATAATTTCACTGGTCTCACACTTGGGATAAGAAGGGAAACACTCACGAACATATTGAGATCAAAATCATGCTTTTGTCTTAGAACCAGAGCTGCAAGAAGCTCAAATGGAAGTTGCACACCTGCGTCACGAAGTGGAGAAACTGAAATGCTGTGGTATAATTTATTTGCCATTTCTCTTTCTTGTACATCATAGTATAGACAACCTCTCAGTTGAACTCACTTATAGTTTGACTTTTTTTTTTAGTTTAATCATTTTTTTCCCCTTATTTAGAAGTTGCTGAATTACAAAAAATAAAAGAGATGAACGAGAAACAGGAAGAAGAGCTGTGCTACCTTAGGGAGACTGTGAAGAGGCTACAGGCACAGGGTGTACAGTTGCTCGAAATGGTAAGATAAATAAATTATTCTATAAAAGAGATGTTCAAAAGTTTTGGGTCAGTATGATGTTACATGGACTATTTTAATGATGTCCTTACTACCTTTCTGGGCCTTGAACGTGGTAGTTGCATTGCTGTCTATGCAGGTCAGAAAGCTCTCGGATTTCATTAAAAATATCTTAATTTGTGTTCTGAAGATGAGCAAAGGTCTTACGGGTTTGGAACGACATGAGGGTGAGTAATTAATGACAGAATTTTCATTTTTGGGTGAACTATACCTTTGAATAATCGTACCAACCCCAAGCTTTTGAACAGAAATTTATATATATATTATGACAAGATTGCATCCCTAAATATCAATCAGTCAATCTATCAATCTGTATTGACACACTATTCATATTATTTTACTCTAACAGACAGAAGCCCCTAACAGAACCGTCACTCCATCCAAAGACAAGAAGCCACAGGAAGAGGATATCCATAAACGGTTCGGCCACAGTTTGACTGCATATATCAGATAAACATACGCTGATGGACCTTAATTATATTTAATTTGATGTGAAATGCAACATATTGTCTGTAGTTCTCAGTCATTTAAAACATTGAAAACTGACCATTGAAGAAAGCTTAGGCTGTTCAAATTAAGGCATATACCGTCTACTCTATAATACATATAATTGATGGTTCCAAATCATGGACTTTTCAAGAATCAACAATTCTAAAGATAAACAAGCTCGAGCTGTTCTTCCAGGTGTCTTGACGAGATGCAGGAGAGGTTACACATGCTGCAAGATCTGACGCAGGTCACGCTGAAGCTGCGGATGGAGTTTGAGACGGAGGCCGACCTGCGGAGGAGGGCAGCGGATGAATGTGAAGAGCAGAAGAGGCAGAGGATGGAAGCAGAGCGGTTAGTGCGAGACTTCCAGAACCTCTGTGAGAAACAGGCGGATGATTACAGGACCACCGTCGGCAGCCTTCAGGTGGAGGTGAGGACTAACACTCTGTCCACACTGGACGCCACAAAGCGAGCGTTGCAAATCTTTTGAACTTTGTGTCAGTAAGTCATAAATAGAAAGCGGCATCAGTTTACAGTCTAGGATTTGTCGCGTCATGACATATCGCGTCGCGTCTTGTGCGTCAGGTTTTAAAGAGACAGCACTGCTTTTAAAGAGAAATCTGCTGCAGTCTGTATCAGTGATGATACAGGGAATCACTCTGCTCTTCGCTGATTAACATTTGCATTCAATTTATAGTTTATGCATATGCATTTTATAGTTTATGTGAAGATTGTTTTAAGTTAACTTAAATTAAAAGTTGTTATATTTCTGACAATTAGCATACAGCTTGGATTGGCGGTATGGTTCTGTTCTGGGCAAGAACACCCTGCGCATCCATGCAGCCTAGCATGGATGAGAGCAGGGAGAGCAGCGATAACCCCGTAGGGTAAACAGAACAGAACCAACATAAATGTATTGCAGATATCATTTATGTTCTATAATTTAATGTAAACATTTAGAAATTAGTCTGATTCAAAGAGTCAGAAGGCTGAATCCTGTCTGGACGAGAGGAGGAGCTGGGGATGGAGGAGGGTAATTAGCTATTGAGCAACGCGAAAGCTGCTGATAATACTGAAGGATCTTATATATAGATCCCATAGACAGCAATGTAATTACCACGATCAAGGTCCAGAAACGTAGCAAGGAGATCGGTAAAATAATCCATGTGACATCAGGGGTTCAACCGTAATTATACGAAGCTACGAGAATACATTTTGTAAAATGGCAAAATGGCACCAGGGTGACGTGGAGGAGACGAATTGTTGAATAAAGTCGTTATTTTTGTTTTCTTTGCGCACAAAAAGCATGCTCGTAGCGTCGTAATATTACGGTTGAACCCCTGATGTCACATGGATTATTTTACCGATCTCCTTGCTACGTTTCTGGACCTTGATCGTGGTAATTACATTGCTGTCTATGGGAGGGTCAGAGAGCTCTCAGAATTCATCAAAAATATCTTAATTTGTGTTCTGAAGATGAACGAAGGTCTTGTTTGGAACAACATGAGGGTGAGGAATTAATGACAGAATTTTCATTTTTGGGTGAACTAACCCTTTAAAGATTCAATTTGAAATTATGACCATAAATAGCTATATATTAATATGCAATTAATCATTATTACAGAAAAATAGGAGATTACTTTTTTTAATCGATTGACAGCACTAACAAAAAGCTCAATTTAATGTAGCAAATGCATTCTGTCTTCACAGATCAGAGATTTAGTAACTAAGTTACGAGAGCTTGAGGCACAGGATGTGGAAAGACAATGTGAAAAACACCTGAAGCAGGTACTCAGAGTCATTTGATTCTTCTTTGAAAGCTGATTTGGTCGCTCACTAGTTATGCTAAGGAACTAAATGACTGACTTTTTTAGGTGTCTTCTCTGGAGAATGAAGTTTGCCAGCTGAAGGCTGTCCTTCAGGAGGAGCAGCAGAAGTCCGGGCAGCTGTCCATGACCATGCAGATGGAAACTGACCAGGCCAGAGCTTTGGTCCAGGTGAAGAAACCTCTATTCTCTGACCCAGGGTTTCCCAAATTGGGGTTTGACAAGCCAAAAGGTAAAATGAACAAATAAATGGGGCTGCACAGTGAATTAAAATAAAATGGAAATCACAGTATAGCTTAGTGTGGTTATCAAATCAAAGGTTGCAATAGATTTAAATAAGCACTACACATGTGAAGCGTTGATGTAGTGGCTCGCTTCACAGTAAATGCTTCTCACAAACTCCATTTTAGGAGCACAGTGTGCACTTTATTTACTCATTTGCATGATTTCAAAGATTTCTGTAGACACAAGCTTCCAAAATTTCTCAGTTCCTGCATGACCATTAAACAACACAATCTCAGGTGGTACTTCAAGTAAATCTTTCACAGGTTTGACTGACAAAAAGTTTGGGAATCCCTGCTCTGACCCAATCAATGACACTGAACACACACCTTCACACTTTCTCATCAGTCCCAGAACGTCCAGCTTCAGCAAGATGCAGAAGAGCAGAGGAGGATGTTTGAGGAGCTGCAGGGCATCCAGAACATCCTCAGCACCACCAAACAAGAGCTGCTGTCCCAGAGGAGAAACAACACACGACTGCACAACATCACTGACGCCGAGCAGGAAAACCTCAGGGTACCTGATGCAGATCGGACCATTTATATAGTGTCTTGAACTGACACCGGTGTTGCTGAGGCAATCTTGAATGTTCTTTAGTCAACAGATTGCAATATGAAGTTGTACATACTGATACTGTATTAGCTTGTGTACTAATTCAAAATGACTTTTGTTTGCTGTACGAGCAGCTCCAACAAAACACCGAAGACTTGAGGAACAGACTAACCAGCAGTCAACAGGAGACTGACTCTCTGAGGACAGAACTTCAGCTAGCTCTAGTTAGCGTGGACACTGAGAGGAGGTACTAAACTAAACTAAAAATGAATAAAAACTATAGACAAGTTTTTGAACAGTAAGATTTTTAATGGTTTTTAAAGAAGTCTCTTCTGCTCACCAAGCTTGCATTTATTTGATCCAAAGTACAGCAAAAACAGTAAAATTGTGAAATATTTGTACTATTTCAAATAACTGCTTTCTATTTAAATATATATTTAAAAATGCAATTTATTCCTGTGATCAAAGCTGAATTTTTAGCATCATTACTCCAGTCACATGATCCTTCAGAACTCATTCTAATAATCTGATTTGCTGCTCAAAAATCATTTATTATGTTGAGAAACAGCTGAGTAGAATTTTTTCAGGTTTCTTTGATGAATAGAAAGTTCAGAAGAACAGCATTTAGCTGGAATAGAAATATTTTGTAACATTACAAATGTCTTTATCATCACTTTTGATCAATTTTTGATCACAGCAATAAATTGCATTCTAAAATATATTAAAATAGAAAGCAGTTATTTTAAATAGTAAAAAATATTTCACAATATTACTGTTTTTGCTGTATTTTGGATCAAATAAATGCAGGCTTGGTGAGCAGAAGAGAAGTCTTTAAAAACATAAATAAATTACTGTTAAACTTTTGACTGGTAGTGTATTAGAAAAAAGAATAAAATGACAAAAACGCACATCATTACTAAAATACTGAAAAAAAAAAAGAAAAACAAATGCTTTAAAAACTATATTAATATCTCAGTGATATTAAAATAACTGCAGATATCTTTAAGATTAAAAATTAAAAAGCTGTGTTTTTGAAAGAAAGAAATCCATTATTAAGGGATTTTAACTTTTTAAATTATCGCTTCTACCAAAACAAAAATCCGTAATGCGTAAAAGTCCATCTCCAGTTGTTCTGTCACATCAATATCCACCGACATATTTGTTTAGAACTGTTTTGGACTGATTCAGACCCAACAATTTTTTATTTTAATTTTGGGAGAAGGCAGTGTTGTGGATTATAGATATTTTATTTGGAAGCAATGGTTTACAGTTAAAACACTGTAATGGTGGATTTGTTTCTTACAAAAACAGCTTTCGCGTCACAAAAAGTCGTCTCGTCTGAATCAGGAGAGAAATATGCACAGATCAAGCACCGTTTACAAGCCAAAACAGTCCAAAATGGTTCTAAACAAATATATATCGGTAGATTTTGATGTGAGAGAACAACAGGAGATGGACTTTTTCACTGGAGGAAGCGTTATTATGAATTATGAACTGCTATTTTGTCCAGAAGCGACAGTTTAAAATGAAAAGGCCTCAAAAATGGATTTATGGAAAATGTATATCTTTTCACTTCACAAGATGTTAATTGATGGACTGGAGTGGTGTGGATTATTGTGATGTTTTTATCAGCTGTTTGGACTCTCATTCTGACGGCACCCATTCACTGCAGAGCATCCATTGGTGAGCAAATGATGTAGTGCAAAATTTCTCCAAATCTGTTATGACAAAGAAACAAACTCATCTACATCTTGGATGGCCTGAGGGTGAGTAAATCGTAAGCAATTTTTTATTTTTGGGTGATGTATTACATTAAATTGACATGAAGATCAGTTTTCAACATGCAGGTCTCAACATCAATGCATTTACATACAAAATGAAAAAGAAGGTAAATGTAGTTCTGTGTAAACACATGCATGTATAAACATATAATGAGCACACAGACGGCTACAGAATTTTCTCGTTTATTTATTTGCTTACTTTTACAAAGTCCGTTCCCGCTCCGTGTCTTGACTTTGCATGTAGCAGCCAAGGCAAACATTATAGAGTACCACAATTCAAGACAATTAAAAAGGTATATTTTATAATAACTAGACATGTAGTCTTTTTATATAAACTGGTTAACACTTAAGTACTGTATAGTTTATTTACAGCATGTTCATGCTAGGAAATAAAATTACAGAAAAGTACTGAGTACACAAGTAAACACCAATATGGTATAAAATATATATATAAAATATAATGGTAAACAACTAGTGATAAAATGGTTAAGGCTTAAAATGTGTAAAATTAACATGTTAGTTGTTAATATTTCAACATGATAATAAGTATAAACATGAATAATAAGCCAAGGAGGTATTCTAAACGTTGATACAGCTACACAAATCTCATGGGCAACTCTACAGCTTTTTTTCCCCAATATTGTTCTCTCCTGTGTAAAATGTATAATGGCTGAATCTCACAAGAACATGTCCAGGTCATATATTTCACCCCAAAATCAAAAGAAAAAACACTAAAATATATTTTGAACAAAACAAAATGAAGCCTATTTTCTGAGGACCAATAAGATTTGTTTGCATTTTCATGACACTCAAGAAAATGTTCCATACAATTCACCCAAAACAAAAATAATATAATATTAATATTATAATATTAAAATAAACACCTTGCCATCCAAAAGTTTGGAATCAGTAATTTTTCTTTTTTAATTGAGTCTCTTATGCTCATCAAGGCTGTATTTATTTGATCAAAAATACTGAATAAAACCGTAATATTGTGAAATATTATTGCAATTTCTAATATTGGTTTCCTATTTTAATATACTTTATAAGATCATTTATTCCTGTGATGCAGCACTGATTTTTCAGCATTATTACTCCAGTCTTCAGTGTCACATGATCTTTCAGAAATCATTTTAATAAGCTGATTTATTATCAGTGTTGAAACTGTTGTGCTGCTTAATATTTTTTTTGGAACCTGTGATATTTTTCTCTGATTGATTATTGAATAAAAAGTTAAAAAGAACAGCATTTATTCAAAATAGTATTATTTTCTAACAATATGTCTTTACTATCACTTTTTATCCATTTAACACATCCTTGCTGAATAAAAATATTAATTTCTTAAAAGAAAAGAAAGAAAACAATATACTAACTATAGTAGTGTATATTGTAACACAAAATTTCTATTTGAATAAACATTAAACACTGTTCTTTTTAACTTTTTATTTATCAAAGAATCCTGAAAAAAGTATCACAGGTCCAAAAAATATTAAGCAGCACAACTGTTTCCAACATTGATAATGAATCAGCATATTAAAATGATTTCTGAAGGATCATGTGACACTGAAGACTGGAGTAATGATGCTGAAAATTCCGTTTTGCTTCACAGGAATAAATTACATCTTAAAGTATATAAAAATAGAAAACTCATTTTAAATGGCAATAATATTTTACAAAATTAAATTTTTTTCTGTATTTTTGATCAAATAGATACAGCCTTGATGAGCATAAGAAAATTCATAAAGTCATACTGATCCCAAACTTTTGAACGGCAGTGTACATATATCTATATATATATATATATATATACATATATATGTGTGTGTGTGTGTGTAATGTAATATTAATACAAATATTAAAATAAATTAAGTTTAGACATGCCTCTTATGCAAAAAAAAAAAAAAAAAAGCCTTCATTTTCTTTTATTCAAAATATAATAGTTTGGACATTTCTTGGCAGTTTTCAGCCATCTAGAATGTCAAATGCATGCTGACATCCGTAACATAACGCAGGGGCTTTGAATCGTCACTTTTTTAAAGTGTTCATTTTAAGCACTATACCAGTCCATTCTGAAACATCAGAATCTTTTGAGAACCATTTTCATATTCCATTTTTGGCACCAGACCACAAGAATTTGTAAAGCACTAAAGGATTCATCTTGCAAAACATCTAAATGTGCTGATTTGTCTATAAAGTCAGATTTATAACAGTCCTTTTGAGAAGTTAACATTTAATGCTAAAGCTATTTTCAGTCAGATTTCCATACAAGCGAGT